TTTTTTTTTTTTTTTTTTTTGTGATACCCTGTGCCACACTGAGGCGGTGTTGCTTTCACATAGCGTAAAATTTACGATCATTGTTGACATTTCATTCATCGAATTGCAGCCTAAGTCAAGCATTTCCTGAATGACACGAGACGGTAAGTAGTGTATTTTTGTCAACAATATTTTAATTGAATATTTTTCACCTTCTACTTTCAGCTTCCGTTAGAAATATGTCACGGATACCATTCACGCAATTAAGCACCCCATCCTTGCACGTCAAAACCCAGTTGACCTGAAGGATGGATGGGGAATTCGTCGCATCGCTTTGGTTAGCCGGATAATGGAATTATCTCCAGTGGAGGCCAAATTTTTAGGTCCAGTTGTGTTAGAGGTGCCGCATTTCGGTTCTTTGCGTGATAAGGAACGTGAAATCATAATTTTGCGCTCCGACAATGGAGATAGTTGGCGAGAGCATACTTTATACGATAGTGATCAGGATCTACTGCCTATAGCTAGTTTCTCGGATGATCGTACGGTTAAATTATGGGACATTGGGACTGAGAAAACTACGCTTACTTTTGCAGAGCATGAGGATTATGTGCGCGCTGGCGCGGTAAATCCCATGTCACCAGACACATTAATATCCGGTGGTTACGACGGTAAAATTAAGATGTATGACACTGAGATAGCGAAGAGCCGCGATGTTGAGGTACTCGAAGACCAAGATATTTATTTGGAATTTGCAGGCAATTTGGTACCAGTGCTAAAATCAGGCGAGCAGTTTAATCTTAAATTTCATGCTTTTCGCTCTCTAAAAACGAATTAATAATCTTTACTTAAATTAGTAATCTTTAACAGCAATAAGTTTCAAATGAAGTTCTTTCGATTTTTAGTTAATTTAAATTTGCGACTGTTTAAATATTTCTTGTCTCAACCTGTTTTAGTAGCTGACTAAAAGATGATTGTGTGACCGATTCGCAGCCGAATGAAGACTTTCAAATCGTTACAGGACAAGGACGAAAATATTTTTTCATGCTTTCCGTGAGAACCGACTGTCCTTCATTGTGCATGTCAAAGATCAGGAGGAGCCTTATGGTCGTATAAGCTTTATGAGCGAACGAAAAATGGGCATAAGTGAACCACCACAACAACCCATTTGTGTATTAAACATATCATTAGAAGGATGGATGGGGAATTCGTCGCATCGCGGAAGAATTGGCCGGACCGTATTTTCTAACTTCCACCGACGACAGCCCCTCGGAAAATATTTCTTCACTACGCGCAATAACGCAAAGGTTTAAATTCATAAATATGCCTAATAGCACATCCAACTGAGCTAGCTGTCGTCCGTCAATTTTACTTGGTGTTAAACAAAAGGCGGTGCAGGTTTTTTTTTTTTTTCGTTTGTATTGTTAGTATATGTAATCTGCAGTCTTTTTGTTTAGGTGGATCTTCGGATGAGATTATTTTTCAAATTTTAAATGGCTTCCTAAAAAAGCGTTAATACGCTGCAGCTATGTTTGTCGACGTTTTGGTAGATGTGCCAGTGATGAGTCGCTTTGGACGCGTCTGGACTTAGGAGGACGGCATTTGCGGGCTGGTGCCCTGGAAAGTATATTAACACGCGGTGTAGTAATTCTACGTTTAGCGCAACAGGCGGCAGCGCCACATTCACTCGAACAACAAGGCACATTTGTGCAGGACGAACCGACGATTGCAACGTGCCAAGTTCCAGTTGTTGTGTCAGATGTGAAAGCGACTTTACCGTCAACTGCAACCACTACAACCACAACTGGCGGCAGCCCGCAACGCAGTTCAAAGCAGCCAACAAAGTGTAACGCCCCCGTGACTACTTCAAAATCAACCCCGGCAGCCACCAGCCGTGAAATACCGATTGCTGCGAAATCAGGCTCACCAAAACACCGTAAAGTAATCGCAACAGCTAGTGCAGTTACAAGCGGCGCCATGCCCCAGCGCTCCAACAGCAATGCGCGGTAGTGAATTTTCTCTCCCCCAAGTCAACCAACGTCGAACGGGTTAGGGTAAGTGACTCCATTTATTAATAGTTCACATATGATTGTGGGCTTAATATTTATTTGTTTGTTTAATGTTTATGTAGCACTGAATAGTTTGTTGAATGGAATACTTTACCAGAACCAGGGTAGCTATCCTAGTAAAAAACAGAATTTAAAGTTTCTAAACTCTTCCTACGTTTGTTTATTGTAAATCTTCGTAATAATTTGCGTTTGCGTTTAGGATTTGAAAAAACAAAAATGTTAATGGTAGTCTGGATAACCTGTTCTGGTAGAGACTTTCATTCTCATTTGTGTAAAGGATCTGCATAGGCACATTAGGCTGGGTCGATTATTTTTTTTTTTCTTTTTTTTTTTTGTTGAAAATAAAGATCATGCGATTAAATTATCCCAGAAGATAAGTCAGGTAGGCCTTCTTAAGTGAAGGTATTTTCTATATACAATTTACGCGAATGCAACACACCCTCTTTTGAACCTAAAGTAAATACCTTAAAGAAACCTGATTTTTATGTTTGGAATAAACTATTGGAACTCCAATAATTTTCTTACGTTTGCTTAGTAACCTGATTGGGGCAAACTTTCGTATTTTTTTTTTTTTTTTTTTTTTT